ATCATGTCAATGGGTACTTGGTGCTCATACAAGCATACTGGTAACAGGGAAGGTAGTCGTTCAAAGGTTGAATGACACATGGTGGGGTCAGCAGCTACTTGGCGCTCACAAGAGCGTACCGGTGATGATGATGGCAGGCCTGACTTGTGTATGAGTCCATCCATAGAGTTGGCCAATTCCTCACCATGGAGGGAGACAGACAAGGGCCCTGTGCCTGGGTGAACAACATGAGTTGTGACAGGAGACATGTGCACATACCTGAGTTGAGTCATGCACGAACTCAATGACCCATGGCTAGAGTTGTCACCCTTGGTAGGGATGACCCATATAGGTGGTAACCGAGACATTTACAGCCGTATACAGTCATTTTGTCACAGCTGTGCATTCTGGCCCATTAGCTGCCCATCCCGATGCTGCCCGAGCCCATTCCTGCTATGCAAGCGCCAACCTCAGCCCTGTCCTCCATGAGGACTCCCTGCTCACTCCCCTGCTTGCCCCTAGGCTCCCCTGCACCTGGCCGACTCCCCCACAGCCACACCAACCTTCCTGCCATGAGTCCGCCTCCAGCACCGTGCCCAGCACGACTCCTCTACCCCACCCACTTGGCCCCTACAGGGCCGCTACCATTCCCGCACCTGACTCTGGCCCAACTCCGAGTCCTGCGCCGCTATGATACCATCGCCGCTATCGTGGCCCTATGCTCCTTCCTTTATTTATCTGTTATTGTTTGTTTTGACCCTTGGTCATTGCTGGCCACTGTGCGGCCAACCCCACTCTTTGTTTCCTTTTGCTTCCGGACCCTTCGGCCTTCGGCCTGGGTCCGCTTCCATTCATTCATTCTCCCTATATATATCCTGTATGTTACTTTATTGTACCTTAGCTCTAATATCGATTCAACCCCTCAAGTCCTGACCCCAACAAGGCAACCTGTTAGAATGTGCGGATTCAGATGACTCCGGAGTGGAATCGGAGACTTAGCGTGGAGGGACCTTGGCCTCAGCAACTCAAGCAGAGCGCTGTGCCATTGCTGTTTGTCCATTTGGTCCTTAATTTCACAGTAGGCGAGCAGGAAGTCTCTAGGGGGCATTTCAGGTCGATTTCGGACTGAGGTTACAAGTTACTATGTACATTGTATATAAGGAGGGGTCCAGAATCAAAAGGAGCGAGGGTAGGACGAAAGGAGACAAAGGGAGATGGAAAGAGGAACAACACCGAGGGTCAAGGGTTTGACTCAATGGTGTTTCTCAAAGGAGGAATGAAGGGCCATGGCCCAAGGAGGAAGGAAGGAGGTTGGGAGTGGGGAATGGCTAGCTGACTGAATAGAAAGGAAGCAGCAGCCCAAATAGGAATGAGGGAGTATAGCGGAATTGAATGGAGCAATGCAATAGTTGCAAGGTCCGACATAAGTCTGGAAAGTCCGAACTCGGAAGTTAAACTCTGGAATATTGGCAAACATAATTAAATGGAATGAGCTAACCAATACAATGGGTATAAGCGGAGGTGGGGTCAAAGTCTGAGGTCAGAGCTAAGACTGGAGGTTCCAGAGACGGAGACGTGAACAGGATTCCGGAGCGGAGGTCCGGAGTCGGGAGCATAGGTTTTGTGTACTCGTCTGGAAGGTGTCGAGGTTGGGGTCGGACCTGGAATGTTCTGGAGTCGGACTGAAGGTGGTGTCCGAGCTGGAGGTGGGATAACCTCTTGGGAGTCAGCAAGGAGAAAGTGATGGAAGGGAAGTAGGGCTCCAGAAGTCGGAGTTCGGAGTTCCAGGAGCCCGGAGCAGAGGTCAGGATTGTATGGATATGACACAACCCCAGTAAGTCTGAAATGAGGGCCAAGAGACAGCTAGGGGGCACAGCACTCCTTTAGAGTCACTGAGGCCAAATGCCCACCCTTGGGCCTTGTTTGTGGCATCATGGCCATCACGGCCTATAGCAGCCCGCAATGGCAACCTTCGGTGCCGACCCCGGACCAGTGTCTAACACATTTACAATGTTGGCACAAGGAAGTTTACAGATGTTGCACAGTTGGTAGGAGTATCTGATTGTAGTTGAGTTCTCGTCACTCTCAGCTCAAGCTGTACATGAATGTGATGCTAACTACTGAATGAGTAAGATCACAAGGAGTCTTGCAAAATGGAATAACATTACTGGCCAGCCCCAAAACCCCAATAGGGGAAAGCTTAGCACAAGGTGGATGTGTAAGAGGGGGGGGGAATTGTCAAAAACCCTGAATGAGGGTAATGTGCATGAGTCTGAATGCAGGCAGGGCTCAACTAGAGGGGATCCGAGAGCTCCGGTATTGAACTGAAGCTTCTCCAGGAAGCCCGGGTCTGCTGGGTGGTACAAGAGGCTCTAAGAAGGACATGGCCTCAGCGACTCAGAGGGAGCGCTGTGCCTCTGTTACATCTCAGTTAGTCCTTTTATTTCATGTGTCTGGGGTATCTTCAGTAACTTGCAAAAAGTGTAATGGCGGTTCATGAACCTTCATGGAAGTCATGACATTTCTTGAATGGTCACCAAACTTCATGAAGCAGCATGAAGTGTCATACACAGTCATGCCAGTTCATGACAAACCATCATGGAATTTCATGAGATGTCATGAACCTGCATGGGGGGTCATGATTGCTCATGACTTAAGTGGTTCCAGGCAGGTTTTGAGTGGTTACATGCCTGTCTATGAAGTGTCATGAAGTGTCATGAGCCTTCATAAAGGATCATGGACCCTCATGGACCTTCATGAATCACTATGAGTCTTCCCAAGAATCATTGTGATTGATCATAAATTAGGATTGTTGGTACAACAATGACAGTTGGGGGCATAATGGTTAATTACATGTTGCCCTTAAGTTGAAAGTGATATGAAAGCATCACACAAGAGGGGGTTGCTCTAGTTGATTTCAGACTAAGGTCCCTGAAAGCATTTACAAGGTATAAATAAGGGAGAGAAATCATGGGAAGGGCCAGTCAGTCCAGTGCAGAAATGAGTGGGGATTATCAAAGACAAGAACCCAGGTGAAGAATGAATAAGTAAAATATTGACACTTGATCTGCTACTATATTGGCACCCAGGTTGTCAGTTGCCTCCCTACTTTGCCTCTTTGTTTATTTGTTCATTCCACTCTCATTCATTCTCTCACTCTCTGTCTCCCTGGTTCTCATCCCTCATTTAGTTTGTCATGTTCACCGCTCTGCCTCCCATTCAGGTGCCAGACTGACCAGCCCCTCTTCTGTTCTCCCTTTCATATTTATGCATTGTAGATAGTATACTACTTATGTACCCCAGTTTGAATGTCAACTAGAATACCCCCCAAAGCTCCAAAAGTGGCAAAGTCCCAGCATGGAGGACTCAATGGGACAAGTAGTGGCTATGCATAGCAGTGGTCCTGTCATGGGGTGAGCATCCCTGACCACTTAGTCTGAAGTGGGAAAGTGAGAAGAAGGCTGCTTCTTCTGTTCCCACCCCAGGTGCTGTTATATACATGTGGCTGAGGTCACATGGAAGGTGCCATGTCATCTCTGCACACAGCCGCACCCCTCTGGGTGTCTCTGCAGGGGTCCTGGGGGTGGCCACTGTGTGGGTGGGAATGTGTGCAGTGGGTGCAGCGATAGGGGCAGTGGCATTAGGGTGTAGTGGTACAGGAGGGGTGTGCAGTGTTCCCAGGTATGTGGGTGCACTGGTGGTACATAGAGAAGGAGGAAGTTGACCATAGAACAGAAATAGAGAGGAAGAGGAAAAAGGAAAGGTGAGGGGGAAGGTGAGATAGGAGGAGCAAGAAGCAATGGCAGGGGAAGTGGAGTAGGGCAGCATGGTGCGGCGTGGGGTCAGGCAGGGTATGCCCTGACAATAGTTTACCTCTGACTTCATCTTCACTTGAGCCTACATCACCACCAGGTTCCCTCCACTACACCTGAATACAGGATAGCCTAGAGCATGTGGCACAACGCTCCCACTGAGTTGTTGAAACCAACATCCCAACCCCCTGATGCCTTGCAATGGAGTAACCTATCAGCTAAGTGATCACTCACACTGCCATACTCTGCTCCACTTCCCATGAATACCCTCAAGCACTGTTTCTGACACCAAGCAGCAAAGGTGGCTGGAGGAAAAGCAGAGTTCAGTGCAGTGCTGACACAAGTCCATGAGTTGGAGGTTGATCAGTCAGTGCTGTCACAAATAAGGTCTGTCATATGACAGTTCATAAGTGCTTGTGACATCTCATGCATTGACTCATCATACATGTTCATGGAGCATTATGAATGTCCATGATGCATCATGGGACATTATAGCATTTTACATGATGGGGAAAGGTCAAAAGAAACATATGACACTCCATGACACTCCATGAACCTTCATGACCTGTCATGAAAGGTCATGAGGGTTCATGAACATCATGACCACTCATGAACCTCCATGAGGCATCATGTCATATTGTGTCACCAGCAGTCATGAACCTTGTCAGCACATGATGGTTCATGATGGTTCATGAAATTTGGTGACAGTTCATGACAATTTGTCATGAACTGTCATGAAATCCAAAATTTTCAATGTAAAAAATGTCTGATTCAATTCAATTGTCATGATTTCATGATGCAGGATTACACTTTTGGAGAGTACCTCGGTATCTTGTAGGAAGAGGTCAGGATTCACTCATAGAGGGACTGTAAGGAGTGGTGGCAACACTTGCCCCATCCTTCATCCTATATCTTTATTGTATATTTGTTGCATAATAAATATGTATAAACATTGTATATATGGAGGCATGGGAATGTTGCAAGGGTGAATTAGCCTTTACTTCCCCATTGAAAATACAGCCCATTATAGTGTATTCAATGGTCTGGAAGTGTGAGGCAAACATAATATCGTGCATTAAGTAAATAGCTTACACTTTTTTTATGCTCAGTGAGTTACATTCAACTAACCCCGTGCTAACCACGCTTCCATTTGCTCAGCGTTGCCAAAGCACCCCAGTCAAATTTCATAACCCGGACCCTTCCTCCCCAATGAGACCTAGAAGGGAACCTGGATCGTCGTCCTTCTCAAGGACAATGAGGTATGCACTGAGAAATGCACAAGGTCTCGCAGCAGACAGCAGTGCCAGTGAAGCTGACACTGCTCAAACTGGCTTTGACCTAGCCAGTAATGAAGATGTGTACTCAGAAGATGCTGAAACATCGGCAGGCACTGAGGTGCCTGCCACAAACATTGCCAACCATGAGGTTGTACCTCAAGGGCCTGAGGATTCCCCAGGTACACAAAGTCCAGGCTCTGCAGTGCCTGAACCTTCCCCTACTGCAAGAGGCATGTCTCTAGGGCCCGTTGATTCCCCAGATGCATCTAAAACGCATTCACCTCAACCCATAGAGGTGATGACTCGGATGCTTGAGGCATTCCAGGCAAAAATGGATCAGCAATTCGAGTCCCAAGCGGCCAACTTCCGCCAGCTGTCTTATTCTCAGAACAGGATCGAACACAGATTAACTGCGGTCGAAGAACAACAAAAAAGTCATTCACGCTCTGGTTCCAACCAGAGCGAATCCAGCCCCACTGTGCCCATCACAGACACAGTCCCCCTAAGGCCTCCAACCACCTTAGGGATATGTGATGAAAATAGCACAACCAAAACCGCATCAGTTCCTTCAGAACCATCGCAGCCCCCTACCAATTTGTCTCCTCCCAAGGAGACAGACCGTCAAAACCCCCTGGTAGTTGAAAAACCACCAACTACCTCAATGCATGTCAATTATGATATGCATTCTAGGAGGAAAAGAGCTCTGCATGATGGGGTGCAGAGCTCCAATACAAACGACAGCGCTAGCTTCGCTAGTGCCTGTCCTCCTGATCTCCCACCCAATCCAGGACAGATTGGCATTTTCGACACGCCTCCTGGGCCCTCTGAGGGCCCTGACGCGTCGAATCCAAAGAAATATGGCACTGCAGATGCCCCAGGCTATGCAGTACCGTCTCAACTTCCTGAGGAGCCATCTAACACGCCTCCAGGGCCTAAAAAGCCCGTTGACATGCTGGATCCTCCTGTACCCGACATAGTCGGACTTCTACCCACTCCAAGACCACAAAAGGGCCTTGGCACACCTTTGCAAACTGCTGAAAGTGGCAGTTTTCCAACGATTATGTGGCCCTCAGAAGCCACGAATGGCCAACTCAAAAGAATTGTGCTGGCCATAATGGGTCTCACAACCCGTTTCAATGTGTCACAAATAGAGATGTGGGAAAAGATGGATGAAATCCATCAAAAACTAGCTGACCTCAGTAAGGGCCCGGTTATCATTCACGATTCCCAGGTTCAATATGAGGCAGTTCCAGATGAGCTGAGAGAAAACTCTCAGCACCCTCGCTCTGAATCGGCTAGAAGCCGATTATTGACTAATGTGCCTGTCACTGGCACTATTCCACTGAGGCCTTGGGAGGTACTAAACCCTCCAGCTGCCTCAACCTCACGTGTTAATATTAACATGATTAACACCGGTGTAAAACCCGCTGTAGTACTACGAAAACCTACCAGGATCATTAATACAGATGATCCTGGCATCCAATATCCTGTTTGGCCTGCTAGTGCCAACAGAACTGAGTCTGACCGAGTGTCGGACTCCAGCCCCAAGAGAGTCCCTTCCAAGCTGAAGGGAAAAGAGGTTGATCAGGGCACGAAGCCCCCTCCAGTTATCTTAAGACTGCAGGCGAAAAATTTCCCTGCGGTACCTATTGTTATGCAGAGCTCGTCTGAGGCGAGCGATGCAGACCATGAAGGAGCCACACCCTGGAAACCACAACGTGGAACCGGGTCAGCCATTGTGGTCAACAAAAAGGGTGATATTAAAAGGAGGCAAAGACAAATCTTTGCCCCTCCTGCCCCTAGCAAAGCATCTGTGGAATACAGGACACGAATGGACAGAGATGCTGCATATCTGTATATGCAGGACAATCTCGACATCCATGCACAGGAACTAAAACGTAGGTTAAACACCTACGGGCGATTCACTGCACCAGAACCATCTGGTGGATATTACTGCGAGTCGGTCCATCGCGGACCGACTAGAACTGGTAGTTGGAGTGGGCAGTTTGGACTGCCCAGGTGCGAGTCACTGGGAACTCCCCAGCCGACAATCCGCTATATCGGGGATCCTCAAGCAGAGAATCCCCCACCAATCCCTGTCCCCATACAAAAAAGGGAGCCCAGCACTGTGGCTCCAAGGGTAGCAAGTGCTACCCTCCCCAATGATAATCCATCATTTGGTCCTATTCATGGGACCCAAACAGCGTAACCCCCAGGGATCCCGAGGGTTTCAGGGATGAGTTGGTTCATCAAAGTACGAACCTAGTCAGGATGAGAATCCTGACTCCACTGCCTCCTGATGTGAGGCCGGAGTTACTCAAGAAGAACTCCATTCCATTCCCCACGACCCGTTGGTTTGGGGAAAATGATCTCGAAAAATTTGAGAACTGGCTAGTAGAACTCACTTCCTGGATTTCAGGAAATGGGTGGAAGGGTGAGAGCTACAAGGAGCTCCACATCGACACACTATCACGCACCTTAGAGGGTGACCCGAAGCAGATCGTTGTTATGGGGATGGGGGGAAATCCCCATTCCTTGATCTGTTCTTATAGTGGGATGACAAATGTCATATCTAGTCTGTACCATAATGGGATATGTAATCGATGAGTGATCCCAGTCTTGCATGGGAGTGGACGATCGAATTCCCATCGATCGTGATTGGTGATGTAGTGAGCTGTTAAGGAATTGATGGTAGGTAGTTGGAGACGTCAGGACGGATGGGTCAGCCACAGGTACTTGGTGCTCCTCAATGGAGTGTACCGTGTGCAAGGTTGTGACTTGTGAGGTGGGTGAGAACTTTGTATGGCTGCCATTGGGTACTTGGCGTTCGCAGCATGAACATACTGGTAGCAGGTTGATATCATGAGCGTGCAATGAGGATTGACTAACAGGGCCTTCCGTGACTTGGCATTCCCAAAGGGAACGTGCCATTGGCAGGGGAATGTGATGACTGACGAAGGAGGGAACAGATGGTGGATGGGCGGCTACTTGGCGTTCACATAGTGAACATGCCGGCATCACAGGAAAGTGGACCTCAGAGTATTCATGATCTCCAAGATCGTGATGTGACGTCGTCTGTCGAGCACTGGGGGGAGAGCGGAGTGATGAAGTCCCGTAGGGTACAGATTCCATAGGATGATACACATGTCGAGAGTCTTCGACTCATGACCTCAAGTTCTCATGGTGAGGACCATTAGAGGACTCGACATAACCAGACTTATAAGACATGTTGTGAGTTGTACAGTCACACAGGTTCAGTTGAGTCACAGGAAGGGTTGTTACAGAAGATGACACACAAGACAGTTGTAGAGAGTAGTTGTTAGTTAGCGGGAACCGCCTTCGGCGGTTTCCGTACAAGATGCGTGACTATCTACAAATGGTAAGGTCGTGGGAAATCCTGTGAAACACAAGTAACCTCGGCCAGCACCAAAACCCCAATGGGGAAAGCTTTGCATGAGGGGGGGGGAAAGGGGTAGAACGAGTAAGGAGGGTAGGGTATTGGGATAGAGGACGAAAGGGAGAAAGAGGGGGAGCGATAGAGAGGAGAAGTCTTTGACTATGCGATGGATATGGTCGTTGGAGACTCCGTATCCATAACATTGCCCCCCAGTCTCCTAACGACCATGATGTGGTCCCCAAGGGGCATATCTCCATGGGTCATCTCTCCAGGGTGACCGGCTTCTTGAACGCTTGTGATAGGAATCCAGATGGAGGGAATCATACTGAGCTCCTGTGAGGTCTGTGGGGCTCGCTCAGGTCACCAGGCCATAAGTGTCACAAAGGTGTGGGTATTACGGGGTGATAAGCGATAGATCTCAACCCATCGCCTGTCACGTGACACTAATCTACAACAGGACTACATGTAATGGGGGCCCAGGGCTTGTGCCCTGACACTCTCCCCCCTTGCATTGCAGTTGCGATGCATACAAGATAAAAAGAAAAGGAAAGTTTAAGCTTAAAAGGAATAATGAATAAGGAATGTGTTTGCCACTTTAAAGTGGGCAACATTGTACATCAAGTCATAAAAAGAAGAGAAGGAAAAGGAGTGAACGTCTTTTAAAGTGGGCAGTGTTATACATAGGGATAGGTATATATATATGAAGTCCTTAAAATATCGGGTTTCCCAATGGGAAATTCTCCAAAGATGTTTTGCATCTTCGGCCCGTGTTTCCTCCCCAAATTGATAATTTAGGTCTGTAAAATATTGTTTACAGTGCTTTGCATACTGTTTTGTGTGCGAATTCTTGCATTTTCGCAAGAGTGGAGTGGTTTCCACTTTACCAGAGAAATTTGTGCTCTGGATTTTCGTTTGTTCATCTGGCTGTTTAGCTGGATGGTTTTCTGTGGTTAGAGCCACCTTGCCAAGTGCGGAGCTTGACAGAGTACTAGTTGCTCCTGGTTTGGGAGCAAATGATTGTTCGACTTCATGGCCAGCATGAGTCCCCGGAACTTTGTTCCGGTGCTGTTTGGAGGCTGTTGCCTCTTGCCACAGCTCCCATGCTGTGTTCCCCAGTGTTCGTGAGGATTTTTGGACCGAGATTTATCTTATCTCGGTTGAATGGTTCCCTGTTGCATTGGATGCCTCCCACCAAGGTTACTTGCCCATAGGGTGTCGAAGTACTTGACAGCCTGCGCCTCTAACAGTGGTCCCAGCCTGGGGTTTGCTATTGGCTGTGTTACGGGATGGGGGAAATTCCCCATTCCTCGATCCGTTCTTATAGTGGGATGACGAGGGTCGTGTCTAGTCTGTACCATAACGGGATATGTAATCGATGAGTGATCCCAGTCTTGCCTGGGACCGGACGATCGAATTCCCATCGATCGCGGTTGGTGATGTAGTGAGCCATTAAGGGATTGATGATAGGTAGTCGGAGATACCAGGACAGACGGGTCAGCCACGGATACTTGGCGCTCCTCAATGGAGCGTACCGTGTGCGAGGTCGCAACTTGTGAGATGGGTGAGATCTTCGTATAGTTGCTATTGGGTACTTGGCGTTCGCAGTGCGAACGTACCGGTAGCGGGTTGATATCATAGGCGTGCAATGAGGACTGACTAATAGGGCCTTCGTGACTTGGCGTTCCCAAAGGGAACGTACCATTGGCAGGGAAACATGATGACTTGCGAAGGAAGAAACAGACAGTGGATGGGCGGCTACTTGGCGTTCGCATAGTGAACGTGCTGGCATCACGGGTAAGCAGGCCTCAGAGTATTCACGATCTCCATGATTGTGATGGGACGTCGTGTGTCGAGTACTGGGGGGAGAGCGTAGTGAGGAGGACCCATAGGGTACAGATTCCATAGGACGAAATACATGTCGAGAGTCTTCGACTCACGACATCGAGTTCTCACGGTGAGGGCCGTTAGAGGACTCGATATAACCAGACATATAAGACATATTGAGAGCTGTACAATCACACGGGTTCAGTTGAGTGACAGGGAGGGTTGTTACAGAAGACGGTACACGAGACAGTTGTAGAGCAGTTGTTAGTTAGTGGGAACCGCCTTTGGCGGTTTCCGTACAAGACACGTGACTATCTACAAATGGTAAGGTCGCGGGAAATCCCGCAAAACACAAATAACCTCGGCCAGCACCAAAACCCCAGTTGGGGAAAGCTTTGCACGAGGGGGGGGGAAGGAGTAGAACGGGTAAGGAGGATAGGGTATCGGGATAGAGGACGGAAGGGAGAAAGAGGGGAGGAACGATAATGAGGAGAAGTCTTTGACCATGTGATGGATATGGTCGTTGGAGACTCCGTATCCGTAACAGGCTGCCTACTGCCTTCCTTCCTCCCCTCAACCTGGGTCTGTGCTCTTGTTGGAGCACCACTCTGCAGTCCGGACAGGGTCACCTACCCACAGGGTAGCGAGAATTGTGGTATCCCATCCCAGTCGTGTTAGTCCCTGTCTGGGTTACACTTTCTGAGACCCAATATCACATCTCCTCCCCTTAACCTGGGAGGCCCCATCATGTTGGACTTGGCAGTGGGATTCTGCCCGTGCGCAAGTGAGCTCAGGCTCACATTCAAGTTCCTCGATTTCTGGAAATCAGTTTCTCTTCATTTTTGGAGAGAGGTAATCTTTTGCACTTCTATGCGAATCTTGTACTCCTGCCTCTGGGTGGCACGGTTCTCATAGGCATTTCTTGGCACCTCTGAGTAATCAGGTCGTCTCTATTTGGATGGCCTGAGTGAGGAGCTTGTCTCGCTCTCTTGTTTCCCTTTCATGAGGGATTCTGTCTCATCCAACTCCTTTCGGAGTTGGCTTGTGTTGTCCACTATCACCGGGGGTGATAGCTTGCTCTCAGCTTGGGTTGGGCCGAGAATTTGTTGGCTTTGGCCATCTCAAAAAGCATGTGGACACTTCCCTGTAGGGTGGCTTGCCCATAGGGTGTCATGGTACTTGGCGGCCGCTGCCTCTGGTAGTGGTCCCCTTTTGGGGGTCTGTCATCGCTGCCTACCGTCTTCCCATCTCCCCTCGACATGGGTTTGCCCTCCTGAGGGCGGGCCCTTATGCAACCTGGACAGGGTCGCCTGCCCATGGGGTGGCGGGATAGTCGGTGCCCCGCCCCTTGGTGCGTTAGTCCCCATATGGGGTCGCACCTCATGAGGCCCGGAACCGCATCCCCTCCCCCTGACCTGGGAGGCCCCCATCATAATGGGTTTGGCAGCGAGGTCTGCCAGTGCGTGTGCCTCTTCAAGCTCATGTTTTAACAACTTGATCTCCCTCTTCTGGAGGTCGACTTCTCTCTCTGTGTCTTTCAGAGAGACAAAGATGCCGAAGCGTCTCTGCATGCCCTATTGTACTCATGCCTCCAATGGGCGCAATTATCGCAGGCATCATCTGACACCCTTGAGTTGTCAGACCATGCCCGTTTGGACGGCCTGGGCAAGGAGCCGCTGTCGCTCCCTCATCTCCCTCCTACAAAGGACTTTATCTCTTTCAACTCCTGATGAAGTTGACCTGTCTGGGCAGCTACCGCTGATGCAATAGCTGATTCCCAGCCTATGTTTGGCTGGGTTGTCGGATCTGGGCCAAATTGGCCGATCCAGGGAGTGATTTGGCCAGGGAAGTTCCCTGGGGAGTATACCTGGGGCTGCAGCAGCAATTGCTGCCCCTGGAGTGGCGCTTGTTGTGCCATCGGTGCAGTTTGTACTGCATATGGTTTTACACATGAGCCTGGGGATCACGTGGTCTAGGCGAGTTACTCGCCTACATCAGCAAACTTGGTAGGGAGCTCTTGGAGCTCTCAGAGCTCTCAGAGCTCTCAGAGCTCTGTGAGCAAATTGAGTCTTTTTGCTGTGCACCCTCTACACATTGGGTGGAGAAAATTAAATGTTTGAATGATTTTATTCTCCTAAGGATGCAGAAGTGCAAAGATAATATGTATATACATTTTTGGAAATGCATATTCCATGGCCAGCATCATTACTTGAAACACTCTATGAGCTCTATGAGCTCACTGAGCTCATAGAGCTCATAGAGCTTTTTGTTTTTAAATCATGGATGGTCTTCATATCTCCATGAAATCTGCTTAGTTATTTTGGCACCAGTAGTGCAAAGATAATATGGATATATATGTGTGTAAAATGGCCATTGTCATTGCTCTGAAAGCTCTATGAGCTCTATGAACTCTATGAACTCAGTGGGCTCATAGAGCTCATATACCTTTTGTGTTTACTAAAATCAGCACCTTATTTTTTATTGCTATTTACAAAATTTGAGGAAAACTCTGAAATTCAAAATTTTGCACTTTATCTTTCATCTCATTTCTTGCTCAAAACTCAACCAATTTTGATGATTCTATGTGAATTGGAAAGCACCAAAGTGTGGCAATGTAACCATGCATGTTATGTAGGGTATAAATCAGTTTTAACAAAGTGTTCCAAATGAAGTAAATTGAAAATAAAGCAAACAAAAAGCTGATGTATTCTTCAGATATCATCCAAGCCTTTGACACCAAATTTCCCATGGTCAAAAAGCCATGGTTATTTGGCTCACTGTCAGGGCCCAGCCCTTGTTCTGTGACAGGCCCAGGGGGATCCTCCTAGTCGCTGGGGTATCTAGTCCCAGTCCGAGATCCTCAAACTCACTGAGGGGGCTAAACCTTCTCAACCTCCTCTACAAATGGGAGCCAGGAACTATACAGTTTTCAGCTCTTTGTTGACTCCCCATAAATGGCACCCCCCCGTGGGAACGAGCTGCTCACCCAGAAAGTTCCCACAGTTGTGGCTGTGATAGTTTCTGGGTGAGTAACTTACCCAGAACTTTCCCATGGGTCTGCATGCATGCAGGATTGTGGAATAGTGAGGGGCTGTGCCCTGACACTCACCAAAACATGGTGGGAGACTTTTCTAACACTGGAGCGTACATTGCTACATTGCCCCACTTTGGCACTTTCCAATGCACATTGAATTATCAAAAAAGTGAATTAATTTTTTTTCCAATCATTCCTAATTTCCTGAAATATCTCTCCCTAACTTATCCCAAAATTTCTGATTTTCCCCCTGATTTTTTGGACATTCTCCTTTTTTAGAAAGTCCCCCATTTTCTGAATTTTCCTTAATTTTCCCTGACTTTTTTTCAAGTTTTTAGAAACCCCCCAGTTCCCCCTCATTTTCCTCCCATTTTCCCCTTCATCCCCCCCCTCAATTTCCCCCCCATCCCCCCCTTCGATTTTCCCCTCATTCCCCCCCCAATTCCCACCTCAATTTCCCCCCCATTTCTCCCCCATTCCCCCCTCCAAATTTCCCCTCATTCCCCCCCCCCCCCATTCCCCCCTCAATTTTCCCCTCAATTCCCTCCTCAATTTTCCCCCCATTCCCCCCATCCTCCCCTCCAAATTTCCCCTCATTCCCCCCCCATTTCCCCCCTCCATTTCCTCCCCCATTTTCCCCCTCATTCCCCCCTCATTCCCCCCTCCAAATTTTACCCCATTCCCCCCCTCCATTTTCCCCTCATTTTCCCCCTCATTTCCCCCCTCATCCCCCCCTCCAAATTTCCCCATTTCCCCCTCATTTTCCCCCCATTTCCCCCTTTAATTTTTCCCTCATTCCCCCTCCCAATTCCCCCCCAATTCCCCCCCATTCCCCCCCTCAATTTTCCCCTCATTTTCCCCCCCATTTCCCCCCCCATTTCCCCCCCACTCATTTTCCCGCATTTTCCCTAAGTAATTTCAGATTAACTGCATTTATATCCCTAAATTTGGTCTATATTGATTGGGCTACATACCCTTGGTGTCTGGTGCCGCATTGGTGCTGAAAGTGAAGCTGAGTTTGTTCAGTCCCTTGTATGGTAGGGAGTTGGCTATGGCTAGTCACATGATGCCATAGTCAATGCTTTTAAATTTTAATTTTGATATCGGGTAAATTAAACACTCAGGGAGCTCATATAGATAATAATCCCCTGTGTGCAAATATAGCTCTATGAGCTCTCAGAGCTTTGACTACTTTTTGGAGCTCTCAGAGAAGGGGACCTGCAATTTCAAAGTACTGAAGCTCTGAGAGCTCTGAGAGCTCTATGAGCTCTATGAGCTCTCAGGCCTCCGCATCCAGGTTTGCTGATGTAGCCCATGTGATGTCTAGCCCATGGTGTGGCTGTCCAGGCGAGTTGCTTGCCCGGAATCTTCCCGCACTCTTGGCTGTGGGCCATCGTCCCTCGGCTTTACTTCCTCCGCCTCCGTTTTTGGGGGCATAGTGATGCTGAGAGTTCCCTGTCTTCTTTGATAGGGAGTTTTTCTGGTTCCCTTACGTTTTGTAAGGTGAGGTACTCGTCCACCTGGACGAGGTCGTTGCAATTTCCTAGGGGTTCCCATGTGGTGTCCCCTAGTTCCCATTTAACCTTAAACCAGAGTTCATTGTGAACCCACACATGGTTTAGGATTTTGCGAACTACTGCTTCGCGATCGGGGTCTTCCCCAAAATCGTAGAATATGTTTACTTCCCTATTTGGGAAGATTTCCTGGTCATTTGGCTCGTGAGGTACGAGCCGGGGTACATGGAATCTTGGGTGGATTCCGCGTTGTTCAAGTTGTGGTGGCAACTTGAGGACATAGTTTGACATTTCTGGAAATGTTTCCAGAATTTTGTAAGGCCCTATGTATAAGGGCTTTAGTTTGCCTGCCCTTCCTTTGGGTAGGTTCAACTTATCTGTGGATAAGTATGCAAGCTCGCCTTTTCTCAAAGGCAGGTCCGGGCGTCTTTCTTATTTGCCTGGATTGTTTGGGCAGCGCGATTGTGTATTATCGCGTTGTGTGCTGCCATGAGGTTTTCCTTCGCTTTTTGGGCAAGGTTATTTACTCCTGGGTAGTCCAAGAGTGGTGCTGTTAGGCACATCTTTGGCATATGGCCGTAGATTAATTCGAACGGGGCAAATTCTGTCGATGTGTTCGAGCTCACATTGATTGCGAATTCTGCCATCAACAGCTTTGCTGCCCTGTCGTGTTGATCTGGTCTGACCATCGCATGTAGTATCTGTACTACTTTCTGTCGTGAATTTTGAATCTCGATCTGATGTGATCGAGTGTGGTAATCTGTGAAGTCATACAACTTCGCAAAGAAACATGAATGCTAGTTCTAATGCATTCATGGTTGAGTGGGATCAGGTGGACGTTGTTGTGTCTGCCTGTGGACAATTCCTTTGATGGAATCATATCCCAAGTCTGTGGGATGTGTTTACTTCACGGGTTTGGGTACTCCCCCCTAGAGTTTCCTCTAGGTTGTCGCTCCCCCCTAGAGCTTCCTCTAGGTTATTTGGTCTCAAGAGTATCTCAAGTTCATAGGCATGATGCCTATGATGACTCCTTACAACTGGTCTTCTAATGCCAGTTTGATCTGTTTGCATTTGTGGTTGGCTGGAGGTCTCAGGCTGGCACCGGAAGCAAACTGAATTCCCCTATCAAGGAATTGTATTGGGGATGTTTTCTCCCCTATTGTTATCCCTTGGATGTTTATCCGAGTTTTTCCCCACCATTAATAAGTGGGGTTAAACCTGAGACCACACAGTTGCCCTTTCGATTCGACACCATGTTGAATGTCAGGTGACTTAAGCTGAGTTGCTCAGCTTTACCCGAAGTTACTCAGTCAGGAGCATGTAACAAGGCATGACAGGAATTTCTGTCATGCACTGTGATGCATCTAAATGTCACGCTCTGCAACGCAATTCAATGTCACACACTTGCAACATGAAGGAGATGGAATAGAGGACCAAAGTCAGAGAAACCAATGCTGTAGGGGCATTAGGACTTTGGGAATTAGTACAAAGGTTGTATTGCTCGAAACAGAGCAAATTTACAATTAAAATGGATTTAAAATGAGTATCACATAGGTTGGGCCGAGTTATTCGGCTTTATCCCTGTTTGCGAGTTCAAGGAGTTTGGTTCCTCAAGCAATTGCCTTCCAGATGGTATTTATCTGGGAGTTCTGGTTCTTCTGAGCTAGGACTGGCTTGTTTCTTTCTTTGGTGTTTCTACCAAAGCATCGGTGACTTTCTCATTCACCGTGTTTATGGCCTTCCCAACAAAAGAGCCAGAGAAGAAAGGGGAAAAAGTGAGGGCCTGGAGCGCTTCCAGACACGTGGAGTCTCCTCAGTCTGAGGAGTTAAAACTATAGCATATTACTATAAGTCGATGGTCAGGTAGACCTTCGAAAACCTCTCGGTATGAGAGGAAGGCTGCCAATAGTTGGTGGCAAGATTGCACGGACTGGGTTGTCTGCACAAGTGGGAGTTAGGATCTCTACTTGATCTTATCTGCCAATTCTTGGTCCTCCTTCAAGTACAAGGAGGGCTGATTGGCCTTGTCAGCCAATCGTGCATGATGCAGCCCAGTATTTCTACTGGGGAGAGGGCGGATTGTGGCTGCTAGCCAGCCGAGTATAAACTCCACCCAGAGCTCATCTTCTTCTGGAGGCTCCGGGGTGGTTTCTTCCGAAGGGTCCTCCTTCAGTGGGTCTCCCTCCGAGGTTTTTTCCTTGGGGGTGTTGTCTTCTGAGTGACTTTCCTCAGGGGAATCCCTCTTTAGTGTCGTCACCAAAGAGTTGGTAGTTCTTTTTTTGGTCTGGCTTATCGCCAGTTTTAGTGTATTTTTTTCGTCATTGTTTTCAATGATGTCAGATCTTGGGGCCATTATTGTGGTCCCAACACTGATGTCCTCGCCCTTTCTTCTGGGTGAGTAGTGAGGTCCCTTGTTTGGGTCCTCTGGTTCAAAGTCATTGGAGGTGTCCTCCACTTCGAAATCACCAGAGATATTCTCCGGTTCTTCTTCATCGGAGTCGTCTCCAACTTCACCTTCTGTTTTGTAGTCGACTTCCCTGGCGATCCTGTGCCTTGGGTTTCTGTCTCCTACTAACTGGTGCTCAGGGTGGCTCTTTGCCTGCTCTGGTATTCCACGATTATTGCGTACTTGTACCAGCCTTTGGTTGGTGTTCCCTGACTGCTTCCGGGAGGATTCGCCTTTCCATTTGGGTTTAGTGTTATAGAAACGGATCTAGAATCTTATGGTCCGTGACTATAGGCAAGCAGACTTTGGGATTCCATCACCTTATTTCGCTGTCAAACCCCATGCCAAGCTTTCCCACTGGGTTTTGGTGCTGGCTGGGGGATTTGTTGAGTTTCAAGGGATTTCCCTTGACCATTGTAATATTTATATTAGATAGTTATGAGTCATATGACATGTAAGGCAGTTGCCGGAATTGTTTTCTCATTATCGAATACATAACCCAAAAACCTTGTACCGCAATTGTAACATCCTCACCATTGTGCCACCACTGTAAACTCAACCTGTAACCTTGGAACCATGTCCACCTCCCTATTCATCCTCTCCATGACAAAACCGCAGCGAGGAGGGCATTCCCACACCCAACCTCCTGCTGCCCGCTCCCACCAGTCCACCAGGTGGTTGAGCGGTCACTCCCATCCAACCAGAAGTTCCCTATCAGGAACTGTAGCCTATCCCACCTCCTTAGGAGAGGGATATAGTCCAGGCAGCTCCAGAATGTCTGGCCACGCACCCACGGGTCCCACTTCCCACAGTCACTCACTACCGTGCACTGGTCCACCAGCCTGCTTTCCCCAACAACTCCCGCTACCAGTACGCTCCCATGAGCGCCAAGTCACCGATAGCCACCAACTGGGTGACTCCCTTAGGGAGTCCCAGTATCCCACGCTACCAGTACGCTCCATTGAGCGCCAAGTCACCACTAGCCAACTGCTCCCAGCACACCCGCTACCGGCACGCTCCCAGGAGCGCCAAGTCCCTGTTAGCAGACAGCCAGGTGGCTCCCTCAAGGAGCCCATGTCATACTCGCTACCCTCCCAGGAGCGTCAAGTTACTGTTGGCCAACCCACAGGTTACACTGCCAGGCACTCATCCCATTCCGCTCTCCCTCCGATGGCTATGCAGCCACCTCCATTAGTGAGCCGAACGGCTCAGGTTGGGTTCCCCGGAACCCATTCCCGTAACATTTAGGGTCTTGCACATTGGCTCTTGCCTCTGCGTGTTTCTCCTTTCCCGCCTGGTTGGGCTTTTCACGATTTGTGGTCGTGGTGGTTTCAGGTCTGGCATAGCATTCTGGCCTGTAGGCTGGAGCTATCCTCAGCCTGTTTTTCATCTTGTCCATGCGAGATGTTTTTCTGAACATCTCCTCAAAAGAGGAGAATCCCATTCTGATTATTTCCTCCTTGCATTCAGGGAGGATGTTTTCCAGAAACCGAGCATTAAGCGATGGTTCTGGGTAGGACTGTCTGGGTCCTTTTCCTGCATTGTACTTTACATTGCAGTATTTTTCCGTCACCTTCAATGTGGCGGGCTCCTTGATATATGTCCTCATTAGCGTATCGAGGGCTTCAAGAAATTTCCCCCCTTTATCTCTAAGGAGGGCCTCTTCACGGAATTTTAGTCCGTGTGAGAGTGCAGGCTCTGCCAGTCCACCAATGAGACAATCCAGATGGATTTCATCATAGTGTGCGCCTCTATATCCTCGTGATGTGAGGAATCCTAGCAGTGTGGTGTACCACTGCCAGAAAATTTCTGTATCGTTTTCGCCTGACCACTTCGTGTCAGGGAGTTGAGTAGGACCGTTATTTGACCAGTCCCACTTCACCCTGTCTATGTGTGGGGTGAAAGTTAGAAGTTCGGCCATCCGTGTGGCCTTGTGGTACCATCTTTCGAGGTGCCCATTATCCTCCAGCAATGTTTTGCTGGGAGTTTTCCTTGTGAAGTTTTCACGAGGGTTTGTTTGGTTCTCTCCAGCATTACTGGAGGGGTTTTTCGGAAGGTTACTTCCACTTGTCCTTTGCCTGGGTGAAGTGACCGAGGAGGGCCATTTATCGCCTAAGATGGGGCCTGGTGTTGATGGTTGCCCACTCATTTGTGGGTTCTCCTTACTAGGCTCCTTCTTCTGCCACATTGCACTCCTACAGACTTCGGTGACCTCATCCAAAGTTGGTGACTTCGCTTTTTTGGCAAAAGTTTCGGGTTTGGCCTTGGCAGCAGTGGCTTCCCCTGAGCCTCTGTGCTCTCTGAGCATCTGCCCTTGACCTTTTCTCCTATTATTTCTCGGGCCTTTAGCCTGAGAAGGAGTTCTTCATCACTTCCTGTCCTCCATTCGGATGGGACCTGGAAAAAGTCCAGAAGTTTCTTGGACAATCGACTTCGGGGAGCTTCCCCATCCTCCTGCACCTGGTCCCTTTGCTGTGTCCACGCTGGGTCCGAGGCCATCTGAGGACAGTCCGGAAGTGAGCTCGACCTGTGAGTTTGTGTCGATCTGGATGACATGGCCTTTATATCCATGTTGGAGTGTGTGCACTCATTCTCAGACAGAGCACTGAGTGTCTCACAGTGGTTGTGAGATGGTGTCGGTGGTGTGGAAGTTTTTTCCACATTTCCTCCACTCAGGACTGGCTCCCCGCTTGTGTGGGGGTCGTCCCATGAGGGTTTTTGATGATTCCCAGTCTTATAGACTGGGGTTTGATCCGGCTCACGCCTAGGCGGCGAGCTGAATGTCTCACTATAGTTGCAAGACGGTAACGACGATGTGGAGGTTTTTTCCACATTTTTTGCAATCAAAGATGGCTCCCTGTGCAAGCAGGAGTTATTGTTCGATTGTTTTGCGTGGTTCCCGGTCACATAGACTGGGGAGTGAACCAGCATGCTGCGATTTTGCGGGCTGGACGTCTCACAGTTAATGTGAGACGATGTAGACAATGTGGAAGTTTTTTTCACATTTTTTGCGATCACAAATGGCTCCCTGTGCTGGTAGGAGTTGTCGTTTGATCGATTTGCACAACTACCCATCGCATAGACTGGGGAGTGAACCGGCTTGCTGCTATATCGCAAGCTGGACGTCTCGTGGCTGACGCGAGACGATTCCGTAGATGTGGACGGTTTTTCCACATTTTTTGGAACTCCAAACGGCTCCCTGCACCAGCAGGAGTGGTCATTTGGTTGTTTATGACAACTTCCAGTCGCATCGACTGGGGAGTGATTGCTGCTATATTGCAATCTGGACGTCTCGCGTTTAATGCGAGACGATGCTGGACATGTGAAAGATTTTTCCACATTTTTTGCGATCAGAAACAGCTCCCTGTGCCAGTGGGAGTGATCGTTTGATGGTTTTGAGTAACTCCCAGTCAAATAGACTTGGGAGTGGACCGGCTTGCTGCAATGTTGCAAGCTGGATGTCATGCGGGTGACACGAGACGATGTGGACAATTTTTCCACATTGCTTGGGGCCACAAACGGCCCCCTGTGCCAGCAGGAGTTACTGCTGTTTTTGTCAGTGTCTTGCACCAAGTGAGAGGTTCCCTGAGGATAGTGGGGCTCAGGGACTTCTTTTGGCGTGTCTGACCCAGCCCTTAAGGCTGTTTGTGTGGCAGCCGCACCCTTACGTGTGCGCATGTTTGCCTCCTCACCCAGTGGTGAGAACTCTCTCTTTCTAGGAGAGATCATGTTGGCACATGGGGTTCTAAGGGTATTGTTCCCCACATTTACCCCATGTAAGTTTTTGGGATCCTCAGGGTCTGTCCCTGAGGTCCTACCAATATGTGGCAGGTCTTCATCATCATCCGATGACACAGTGTTTAGGTTATCTCCCAAATTGGGAGATCATGGCTTTTTAACAAAGCCACCCTTTGTTCTCGCTGCAGATGCGAGCTTCCCCATTTGGGGGTATGACGGTGCCATGTCAGGTGCCATCCCCGGAACAGATGTAAAAATAGATGTGTAGATTAGTTTTAATCACACCTCATGCACTTAAAAAAGTGTGAGGTCTGTGGGGCTTGCTCAGGTCACCAGGCCGTAAGTGTCACAAAGGTGTGGGTATTACAGGGTGATAAGCGATAGATCTCAACCCGTCGCCTGTCACGTGACACTAATCTACAACAGGACTACATGTAATGGGGGCCCAGGGCTTGTGCCCTGACAGCTCCACTGGAGGAGGAGGATGGGTGCAGATCCGATCCCGGGTACTGCATGGGCGGGGGGTAGTGCCGGCTCATAGAAGGAGGATGAACAGTCGTTGGAGGAGCTGCCAGGTTGACAATGAAGGCAGGCATGGCGGTGTTGGTGTTGCTGTCCACCACCCACGTAGGATTGACTGGCATTGCGAAAGTTGGCATCTGCAGAATTGACTGTGGCCCTCCGGTGCTATATGGTACCATACTAGAAGGGGAAGGATCGGGATTCAAGTCTCTTGGGTTAGGGCAGCTGTCCCTTCGAGCAATCAATTCCCGAGACGTAGGTCGAGAAGACCACCTTCTATCCGCATCTCTGTCATAGTTGGATCGACTAGGTTTGGGGCAATATGAGTCCATCCAAGTTCGATGGGTTTTGTTCCCCATTTGCCAATGAGCCTGTCCCAAATGACCCGAGACTGATCCTTCTCTTTGGCCAGGATATGGATGGGACCTTCTCTCTTCTCGAGGCAATTTCCTCCAGTGGTTATGGTTCGACGAACCCGAGGGAGAGGATGAGGCAGAAGAGTTGTCAGTGGAAAGGGCGGATGGGGTGTTGGTAGGATGAATGCTTGGTTGCGGCACCACCACATTTGGAGGGGGTAGGAAGACCGAACTCCCCACACCTGGCCAGTTGGGAGATGGAGGCGGTATGGGAGCATCTCCTAGGTTCAAACCCAACGTTCCTGATGTCAGCTCATCTGAGCCCTCATTGAAAGGAGTTGGTGAATCTGGCTGTGCCAGTTGTCGCTCAGCATCATCCATGACCACCTCTTGTGCCTCGGCACGAGTCATGAAGCATCCGGTATCCAGGTAGTAGAATGTCCGGCTTAGATGACATTTCTCCACTAACTTGAGGGTGGACAGGTCCTTGTTGGATGGGGGTGGACCAGGCCACACGAGTTGGAATTCGTAGGCCTCCCTGTCTTCAGCACCAGGCAATGGTCCGGGCACATCTTCCCATCTGGGCCAGTCGAGGAACCAAGGAACTTCAGTCCCTTGAGCTAACGGGAGTCGATAATTACGAGCAGCCTTGGCATGTCCGCTCAGGTCCAGTTCTTCGAACAATCCATTCTTGATTACATGACATGGCAGCTGACAAGCTAGGTATACAGCAAACTCGGGTGAACTTGCTGTCAATTGATCATCAGTGTCACAACCCGGCAATTCCCACGGTCAGGTGATCACTCCCCACATCTTCTCCCTCCCCTGCTTCGACCCCGTCAACCCCGCTGCCTGCCCGACACCGCCTGAACAAGCCCGTCACCCTTCCCTGTCACCACTACCTGTTTCCATGGCCTGTCACGGGCCTACAAGTCTTTCCTTATCACACTTGTTTATCTTGACGGCCGTGCACGGTGAAGGAGAGAACAAAGGAAAGTCAGTTGGGAGGTTCAAACGAGACCACCACCAAGCTGTTCCCTGGTTCTTTAGTTAGGATGGGGAAGTGTACTAGTGTTATTTATTGTAAATAAAGTACCAATCCGAGTGTTTTGGCTAATTCTATTTTTATGGGTTAGTTTTAAAGTTCCTGGGAATTGACTTACAGATAAACCGAGCCCTGCGGAGCTGTTTCTTTATTGAAATTTATTAATTTGTCTAGGTGTAATTCTGTGTAGCGTTGTTTAATTTGGATTTAAACTTGAATTTAATCTTCTACTTGGTGAAGTTTCAAAGATTCTATTCAGTTAATGAATTTGGATTATGTCTGGAGTGTCCCTTGAGTTTGTTTTATTTTTGTCTTATTTTATTGCTTGTTTTAACAGTAGCAAAATAACTGTTTTGTGTTTACACTTTGAAATCTGGAGTGTTAACCAGCTCTCCTGTTGAAATATCTGCTTAATATTTCTCTCCTTAATTGCTGCCTTTTACTACAGTGGCAATCTTAACTGTATATCACTTTTTCGCACTGGAGTGACAACCAGAAATGCTTGAGAAAAATAATACTCTATTTTCTTACTTCTCTAAGGGGGGCGAAAAGTCGCAGAAAGGGTCTCCCTTTTATACTCCTTGGGTCGCCTTCCTTTTTCACGCTCTACCTTCTATTTACAGGATTTATTTACAGTGTATTTTTCTCAAACTGAATAAAAAGTGAAATTTTCACGCTATAGTTCCACTGCACTTTGCTGCGCTGAACTGCGGCTCTACTGCAGTCAGACTGCGCCTGGAATCCTTATTGTCCTTCCTCGCCTAAGCTATTTTAATGGTTAATTAGAATTTGTCTGCGCCGCATTTGCCGCAGTTCCCTATATCAAATTCTCCATATTTCCCTTTAAGTTCGCTATGACTCGGTCATACTGAATTCAAACCTCGCATTACTATGCGTGCGACTGTGCTGAGACCTTCAGCTGATTTATTCCAATTTTATTTAGTGACATTTAGTTAAAATGAGACTGAAATGATAAATGAGTGAATATTTCAGGTTTAAAACTGAAAGAAAAAATTGCTAGTAATCAAGAATTACTCAAACGAATGTGTTATAGCTCTCTACTTCATTAGAACATCGTTCCCTAAAATTCCCGCCATGGTCCGTCGTAGTTTAGTAGTTTTCGTGAATTTCGTTCATATTCCCTGATTCCCCTTTGTATTATCACATCCTAATCCTCCATATGTATTGTTGGTTGTTATAGTAGGTCGTCCTCGAAGATATCATATTTTTATGTATTTTATTTAGGGCTCTAGACCTCTTGAAGCTGTCTTCCCGCGTGTTTTCAGGTTTCTAACTTCATGTCCTTGTATCTCATTCATTTCTGGATGTTTTCTCACGTTCTTGGTATCATAAATTTTCATTTATTCCCACCTTTCCAATGGTACTAAGGTTGTGTCCTATTTCCCTGTATTCGTTGAGTTAGCAAAGTTTCGCGCGCACATTCGGTAATCACGTGCATCGTTCCCATAGTTGTTCGTATGCGGGAGCCGTTTTCGTTTAGTTGTTCGGGATTTATGATATGCGCGGGTGTTTATTTCTTTCATATGGGCTTCTGTGATTTATTTCAGATTTTTCCCTCATGTTCTAAGGTTGTTTTGCACTTTCCATGCTTTGTTTTGACCGGGCTCTTCCTTATTTGGACGGAAATTGGTCTTCGCGATCTGCCGAAGTGCGGATCTTGGTTCCGACGGCCGGTTCCCTGCACATCGCCACCCTCACGTGTCATTACACATGATGCGGATTCCTATATTCCCGTCATGGGTATAACTTCACAACGGCTGGACCGTTTGGGCTGAGAATTTGCATAACTATAGTTCCCCATTTTTAATAATTTCTGTGTAAATTTCGTTGTATGTTATAATTATGGATCCTACGCAAACATCGTCTTTTCCCTGAGCTCGGACTTTTGATGTCGCTATTCCCGTTATTGGATATCTCATTAACGCATGATCCTTTTATTATGAAAATTTGGGAGAATTAAGATTAGATCCCTTCCTTTCTAATGGGCTATCAAGCTTGTCTCGGTCGTTACTGGTTAATCTTCGCGCTTCCCTTTTAGGCATTGTCCTCGTTTTTGCAGGAGTTTTAGTCATATCTCCGTCGTTTATGGGTAGTTTCCCCTGTAATTACCCTCATTGGGTCCGTTTGGTGGACATCTATATTTCCTATTATAAACACGACTTTGAATTTTGCATTAGTTCCTGAGGAATCCTTGTTCCGTGGTACTTCCATCCTTGGCTACATGTGCAGACGTGGGAAAGTAGTTTCCGTGGAGGTTCTCTGATTATTTTTATAGTCAAATCTTGGTCGATTGTCCTAATTCTTGGTTTAATATTTGCTATAAATTCCCCCGAGAATTCCGTCTTGTTGATGGTAAGCTTGAAGTATTTTTGCTATTTTTCTTTCTTTCGATTTATCGTGTATAGTCATAATAATTCGTAAAAATTCGTAAAATTCGTTAAAATTCAGGTCCTTCTATGTGCTCATATCTACTTGTCGTATGAGGTTTTTGTGATTTATCTGGCATATTTCCATAATGGGTTTCCATAGTGTGGCCGTTATTTCTCCTACAACGGCCGTCCTTCTCCCACACTCTTTGTTTGTTTTTGTTCCTTCTTAACCCTGCCTGCAATCTCCGTGAGATCTGGCGACTTATTTCTATTCATTCCGTTATACTTAAATACCGGTTGTACGCTACCTCGTACTTGAGTTCGAAAATCAACTAGGGTTACCCCCTGCACTCTCTGTCTGACCCAGTCGCACCTCCTGCCTCCTGAAATATCGGGGCCGCATCAAGTACGAGGTGCAACGCTCATGAACGAGTCATTGAAGCCAAAACCCCTTCCGCCACGATTGTCATCCCCACCCTTGACGGGCTGTTACGCCGAAGCAGCGGACCTTAACAGTCGCTGACAGCGAGTCACGGTAACGTTTCCCACGCCCTGACAATCAGTCAAACTTTCTTCAAGAAAAATTCCTTTTGGGGGTTCCAACCAGGATATCTTACATCCCTCTTGGACTTCTACTTCCATTAGGTGTTCATGGATCCGTGTTAGACACTGTTCCGG